GCCATCTCTAAGCTGAGAGGAAGGCTCTCACCAGGAACTGAATCGGCCAGTGCCCAGATCAAAGGACCTTCCAGCCTCTAGAACTTTGAGAAATGATTTCTATTGTTTAAGCCACCCAGTCTATAGTATTTTGTTATAGCAGCCCAAGCTGACTAAGATCCACTCCAAGAAATAATCACTATGACTTACACACACTCATTACATGTCAGGGACTTACATGATTTAACTCGCACAACTTTATGAGGTAGATGTAACCTATACCCCATTCGACAGACAAGAATCTAAGAAAAAGAGGTGAAGTAATTTTCCCAGAGCCAATCAGCTAGCAAATGGTAGAGCTGGGGTTAAAACTTGGACAGTCAAGCTTCTGAAACCACATTCCTAACTAATTATCTGCTTCTCTGAGCGTCTCTCCACTAAGTGACTGTCCAGAAGAGAGCCCAGTCAATAAGCGAATCCTTTCCTGTGATTTCCTGTCAAGTGTTTAGAACCTCAAGTGGACTCCAGGATTAGGTTTCTCTGAATTAGGGGCAGTGCCAGAGGAGGGTGTAAGTCGAAAGGATGTCTGGGATATGCCAAGAAATGTCTGGGAATGTGCAGTCTCGGGACACCTGCAGGCCCAAGCTAAGCAGACAACTGGGTGAAGTACAGGGACCCTTACAGTGTCTGAAAGTTTAACGGCAGAATTGGTCCATTTGGCGAATGTTGACTCAGGGTGTAAACCATTTCCATGGTCTGAAAGAGAGTTAAAGATTATAAGCAAAATGCCTGTACAGTCACGGCGAACCGAGATAAGCATTCAAATTCACTGTCAGCCAAATGTTTTGAGTTTGAACAGCCAAAAAAACGAAAATCAGAAAGTGTTACTCTATTGTGAGAGTTACATAAGGAATTCTGACTCAAATAAGTATGACCTTCTGTATCAAACTAAAAGACTGGTCTCTTTTACTGGAGGCTATAAAGGAAAAATCTCATAATTATGAATTTTGAAATTGCTTTTGCAATCCCCTCCCATACCTCTGTGAACAAAAAGAGCTGATGCCAGGTAGGCTTCAGCCTCAATTCAAAATAGACCTTCTCCTATATGGAAAGCTGCTTATGCTCCGTTCTTCCATTACCTGTGAGTGCCTCCGTGTCAGCCTTCTCACTCTCCTGGTTGCCCCTCTCAGCCCACACATGGACTTTGTATGCTTCTCCCGGCTTCAGGCCGGTCAGGACGGTGCTTCTCTGCTCCCCAGGGACTGCCGTGTCCTTGGCCTCCCCATCAGCCGAGGTGTAGCGCACCACGTACTTATCTATGACAGCCTGGACTGGGTGCCAGGAGACCACCGCTGTGTCTTCTGTCACATGATCAGTGACCACATTGGTTGGACTATCAATTTCTTCATAAAAATAAGAGAAAGAAAAATCAGAGAAGACCTTGGCTGGTCAAGATCACAAATGCTTCAAGATCTAGTTTGGGTGACCTAGTTTCATAGTCTACACAATGCAGGAGGATCTATTCATCATCTGGCATATGCTTGAACCCTAAGCAGAGAAAGGGCTTCTTGATGGATAAAACAATCCTTTCCATTTTCAGACTACTGAACACATTAGAGAAAACTCCTCCCCACCATAGAGAAGAAGGCAGCTTAACAGGACCAAAACCTCACTCTCTGCCAAAAAGGGATCACAGACGGTTTTTCCATGGAACAAAGCCTTCGAGTAGCTCAACTACTGGCCAAATCATGGATGAAGCACAGTCCTGCCCCAGCCCCAGCTTCCTTCTCAGGTTGCAACTTCCTTCCTGCTGGACACTGGCAGCCCTGATGGGACCTTTATCAGAGCCGTTACAGGTCAGAGAGATTTAAGACAAGACTTGTAAGGCTTGGAGGTGGGACTCACCTTTGAGTGTGTGTGTAGTTAGAACAAAGGTGAGGTCTACTTCAAAGAGATCTAATTTACAAAGCTGGGTGTACAGAAGAGGCTTAGTAAGAGCTGCAGGCACATCAGGAATGTGTATTCCACTTTACAACCAGATTCACTGAGAGTTGGATAAGGTTTGGCTCTCCAACAGCACATGTCCACACTCCTGCTCGTGGCCACAGGCATTAGGAACAGATTTCTCCATTCACAATGCCACTTATGAGTCATCTAGTTGACACAGTAGAAAATGGCATAGCCAGGGTCTAAATCTATAGGAATGTGGGCTGGGGACAGAGATGGGGAACAGAGACTATGCCACTGGTTTGGAGATGAGTTCATGGAAGAGATGCCCTCAGACTACAGCAGCTATGCATTTTACGAGCTTGTTTTCTCAGCCCTCCTTTACTGCTTTTCATTATGATAATAAAATTATTCAAAAGGCACAGAGAATATCCCTGAGGTTATGGTCTGGCTTCAAACAAACCCAGGTTCCAATGCCATTCACTGGTTCACTTTGAATCCCCTAAATTTTATAGGCTTTAATTTTCTCACCTGTAAAATGGGAATAATAATGCTTACAATGCTCCTGTAAGGACCAAAGATAATGTCTGTGAAGCTCCACCATACCTAGAAGATGGTAAGTACTCAAATGACAGAAATCATTATTTTCCAGTCACCAGGTATATGTGGGTGGCTGTACATGAGAGCGGAGCTCTGAATGCTGAAACATCTTGAAACGTGAAGGAGTTTGGGAAGGAAAGTTTCAGGGGCTGGGCCATTTCATACAGAGCATTATGTTTGAAAGTAGTAACAAATGAAAACGATAATAGGAGCAGCAAAACCACCATTTCATAGCAGAGTGTGAGGGGAGAAGTTCTGAGAAAAATGTCAGCACATGAATAGGAGAGGCTGAGAGCTCTGCTGTGCGTGGGAGCTTGGGAAGTTAAAACAAAGCAAGCCTTCCTTTGTTCTGTACTCACCATGGAGAGGCATGACTCATGGGAGTTATTAAAAGTCTCATAATCATAATAAAAAAAACTCATAATCCAAAAAGAGAGAGTGAAGGCACTTGAAACTCATTTAGTCCAACCTTCTATCTTACAGGTGGAGAAGCTGAGGACTAAGGATCAGCATCATCTCGTAGTTAGTGGCCCACCCTTCCTGTCACTGGATGTGAGGTGGCCGTGAGGGTGTCTGATGGAGAAGTCCAGGGATAGTTCCCCCTGAAAACACTGGCCTGGCTGGTGCTTCTGCTCCGAAGCTGACTTGCTTCTAAAATCTTGCTTTTCTGGAAGGTGCTTCAGGGCACTTTGAGTGTGTTAACAGACAGAGTGAGGACTTTCAATCAACCCTTTCCCTTTTGTGGAATTAGTTCCACTGAGTGACTTCTTAAATGGAAAATACCTGAACTGTGTCATTTCCTCCCTGTACATGCTTATGCTGTTTTTATATTCCAGTGTCTTTTTCCATCTCATGGAATGCAAAACATTTGGAGAAAAGAGAAATTTCTTTTTCCCCTCTTAAATTAATTAGCAGTCTAGCCAGGTTTGAGAGTGCTTCCTGACCTTAGAATTTTTGTCTTTTTTTAAAAATGTTGGCATAACACGTGACACAAATTTATTTGCAATCCAATAAAATATCCCATCCTGCTTTTAGAATATAATTGACAATAAAAACACATCCTGAGTGCTCACTTTCTAGTTGGGATAATATACTTGAAAGGTTAACTAGCAATTCAAGGGCATATGTGATTAAATGCTCTGGGAGCTCAGGACAGATGGCTACCATTTAATGTGGTCCTAGACAGCCCCACAGTGGGGTCGAGCCCACAGGGATGAGTGGCATCGTTGCAGTGAGCCCCTGAGGGGCAGAACAAGGACCTATCATCTTTGGAAGAGAGGACGTGTCCAGGGCCCAGTGGTACTCTGCAATTAATATGAGTCAAACTAATTGATAGCTTGAGTTCACTGATTTCCAACTAATGAATGAATAGCTGGAGGTAACAGTGGAGGGTTTTCTATGTTGTGACAACAATATGAACAAATCCAGGATATAGAGGTAAGCCATCTGTATTTAAAAACAAAACAAAAAACAAACAAACAAAAATCCAGCCGCAGGAAAGCTTCCTGTTGGCAAATATGGAAAATGACAATGACCCAGGCTGGACAGGCCCAGGAGGCCAAGATGAAAGGGGTCCTGCATTATCCAAGGGGAATGAGGAGTCACAGACATTGTTTTAGTTAGGGAGTAAACAGCAGGAAAATTAACCAGAAATAGCGGCAAGAAGGTAAAAGTAGAAGCCACTTTAGCTTTGTGTCCACCCAAGTGGATGGACCTCCTAGGATCCAATCCCACCTCTGCATTTCCTGGCTGGGCCATCCTGAGCTTTCCTTCTCTAAGTTTCAGTTTTCTTTCATGTGATTTAGAAATAATAATAGGACCTACCACATGGGATTAAGGTCATAAGGTCACAAATGAGACAATTCAGGAGAAGTGTTAGTAGGGAACCTGGTGCCTAGTAAGATCCCAATTAATTCACAGCTAAAGAGAACGCCCTTGAGAGCAAGGAAGGGCTTGCCATTTCCCATCTCACTAAAATGTTTTACTAGTCCACTATTCAGGCACGCTGCACAGTCTATATTGTGTGGCTCATAAATTAAATTATATCTTGCCCTTTACAACTGCCCAACCAAAACTCATTCACACTCCAGATATGCAATTCATGAGGCAGCCAAAGTACCGAATTTAGTTCCTGCACCATCCCACCCTTGTTCTCAGCCATTGCCAAGACTGGCTTGAAAAGAACTAAAAAACTTTTCAAGGGAGTCTCAAAATTCAAAGACCCTTCCTTTGCTGGCTCCGCCCAGTGGCATTATGTTCTAGATCACTGGTCCTTGACAGAGGCAGGGTTAGTGCAGGAGGTTCACAAATCAATATGGGCTCAGGCATTGCCTGAAAATTAAAAATTATGTAGGATATCCTGCACGTCTTACAATGATTTCAAATTCTTTTCTGATTAATAAATTACAAATTTATTGGCAAATGTTACTGGTTTATAACATTGTCATTATATATTTCTCAACCCACAGATGTTAAAAATACCACTGCTGCCATGTTGAGGGTCTTTAATATTTTTTGGCATTTCTAAAGCAGACTGCCTGAGTGTGGCTATCAGGAAAAAACACAGGAATGACAAGTAAAAAAATTATAGATCATCTGTCTTAGGTAATATGGAGCTCTGTGCTTAGGCCCCAGATAATAAATGCCTTAAAAATAATCCAGTGATTAAAGTTATTAAAATAAGCACAGCAGTGTCAGAAATGGCCTTTCCCCTGGACCCCAAAATCCTGGAGGAGATCTTCATTGGTAAAAAAAATTGAAAGAGGAGAGGTGTGCTTTCCCTTTCCTGCCCTGCAAAACAAATGTCAGTACACAGAGACAGACTTTTGCTGCACACAAATCCCAGTTTTTAGCCAGAGCCAAGAAAAATATCAGAATGTGAACATGAGACGTGTTCACAGTGCCTCCAGGGAGCTCTCACCTGTCCTGCCATTCAGGAGGACCGGCTTGCCCTCCAGTTCTCCTCTCATGGGAACAATTGTGATCTTATACTCCGTCCCGGGCTTCAGACCTGGAAATAAACCCAACCAGCCAGCGCTGGGCGTGAGTACAGGCTCCAGACCCCTACTCCCAGCTCAGCTCCTCCCCAGGATTCCTCTGGTCGGGGGGATAGGAGGGGCTCCACTTCTCACCTAAAGAGTAAAAATCCACTTAAGGCAGAGAAGCAGCTACAGGCCCAGCTAGCACTTATCTCCCCATTTATGGTCCAGATGTTTTTGGCTCCCAACCAACCATCTTCTTCCCTCAGAAGTTTCTGTCCTTCTCATTGTAATAATTAGCCTAATTTTTTTCCTCTTCCTTTTTTTCTTTTTCATTTCTTCTTCTTTTTTTATTTCTCTGTAACAGCAACTTGAACAATTGTTCTTCATGGCACAAATACTCAGCTGCAGTGGCAAAATGCAGCAAGTAGCAGCCTGTGTGAGGCACACACAATATTTTCCACTCTACAAACACTGGGAACCCCAAGAGGTCCTCTTGAAACGGAACTTAGGGAGTGGATGGAAGAACAAGGCTCCAGAGGAGGACTTACCATGGGGTTAGTATGCCTTGGGGCCCCTGTACCTGCAAGGGGCACTTCCAAGGCCCTATGTGGGATTGAGTATTCATGACTGTGTTATTTTTCTTAAAGAGGGCCCTGAAAATTGTATGTGCTTCAAGAGTTGCAAAACGTGATCCAGTCCTGCATGGCCCCATTTCTTTAGCAGCCATCTGATTCCCAGGCCTCAGCTGGACAAGGACCTCTGTCCCACAGAGGCCTCCTACCAAAACTCCTTCCACGCGTAGTGCTGAACAAACCAAACCAATCTCTCTCCTTCACACACACACACACACACACACTCACTCACTCACTCACTCACTCACTCACTCACTCACTCACTCACTCACACACACACGGTTCTTCCTAAAGGAGTGTCTGTGGGCCATGATATCCACTGTGATGTACACAGGGTTTTCAAGAGGACACTGGCCCTGGAACGTGCCAGCCAGCTGCCCTGAGATTCCTGAGTCAGCTCTAGGGAACTGCAGCAGGTCTGCAGGCTCCAGAGTGGGCTCACGTCTGGGAGGTTCTGTGGCCAGGGCTCAGGTGATTCCTAAGGCCCCAGTACCTTCTGTGCACTTGAGTGGAGGACATGGCAGTCCCCTCTGTACACAGTGTCCCACCTCAGCACCCACAGCACACATTACGCATCCCCAGCCTTGGGTCTTACCCTTGATGTCGTAACGGCTCTTGGGGTCCCTGCTCTTGGGCACGGCAACCTCTGCCACCTCCTGCCCTGTCATGGGGCCATACTGCAGCTTGTAGTAGTCCACCTCGGCTGCAGGATTCTCCCACTCCACATCAAGCGAGCTGGAAGTCTCTTCGGCCACCCACGCGGAGCCCACCACAGCGAGCCCTAGGGCAGGGGACAGGGAGGGCAGGAGAGAGCAGCGAAGAGCTGCAACTGGCAGGCCTGGAACAGGCTGGAGGCTACCAGTCAGCTCCCTTCCTTGGCCCATTGCGGGCAGGCTTCAGCCCCAGGACACAGCCCTTCACAAGTGTCTAAGAACTACCTAGGTAGCAAAAAAGCTGTTGGCTTTCACTTTATCCATGGAGGACAGACTCTGTCCCGGGCAAGTCCCCTCCACCCAGTCCCATCCCATCAGATGCTGTGTAGCCCTCGCTGTCCGCACTGCTTTGGCCAAGCCCTGAGCCTCTCCTCAGGCCAGCCACCCAGGCCCCTCGGACCAGGGCTCACACTGCTCTCAACTTACCCTCACCTTTTAGCTGCCTTAACCTCAAAGACTCAACCCCAGCATGAGAAACTCAGGCTCTTCCAGGAAAAGTTGCAAAATGCATCTCAGATTCCTACATTAGCACACTGATAATACAACCAGCCCCTTCCTCGGTCTCCCAAATTCTCCTGAGGATCAAACCTAGGGGAAACTCTAAAGTAGGTACATTTTAACTTGGTCCTTCAGAGTATCCTTCCTGCCCTTTCTACCAAATTGGAGCACCGCCACCAGGTACCCGATGTCCTCAGCTGCCCAACCTGTCTGTCCTCAGAAGGACGAGGGTGATTGTACACATCTATTCTAGTAAAGTATTAATGGCTAAATGTTACCCCTCTGCTCAGAAGAAAAATGAGATTATAATGATTAATACAAAGGATATGTATATAATGATTAAACCAAAGGAATGGGTTGCTGATGTGGGTCTAAGGGAAGAACTTTTCGGTTGTGGTTGGGGAGGGGACTGGGGGTCCTTGGGAGCACTTTGAGTTCCAATGGCCATGTCCCTGGCAGACGCTGCCTGGTCTGAAGTTTGGAACAGGCAAGATAAGTCCCCAGACTCTCAGCCTTGCCCCCTTTCTGTCACACCCCCACCTGCACCGTCTTGGCGGTGTTCCCACCCAGGTGGGCTGAGCGAGCACTTGTCAAGCATGTTGTGCATCAGGCAAGAAGTGACCTTGGTGATCTCAAGATCCCTTGGCTCTGGAAGTTTCTCGTTCACTCTGCTCTGGACAAGAAACCTCCCAGAACCTTTTCTCTGAAGCATTTCTTCCCATCCACTGGCTTCAACCTGCCCGTCTCCAGGGTCTTCCTTCAAAGATGGGAATTCCTTGAGGGAACAGGTCAAGAGTGAGTAACTACAGCGACTCAACGATTACAGATCTAGAAGGGTCCAACATGGCTAGCAAATGAAAAAGCAAGGACTTAATGAAAACATTCAAGATTATTATGGGGATAAGTTTCTTTCAGACTGAGGCTCTCCTAGGGAGCAAATAAGGATGGATTTAACTTAGATCACACAGAATGATGAGCTTCACAATTTCAGGGTTTTGCAAGTCCCTGGAGCAAGAAGCCAAGAGGGGCTGCCTTCAAAACCGATGTCTCCCCTCTTCATCAGGAGGCTTTGGACACTGACCTGTATGAAGGTGGAGGCAACCACAGACAAAAAGAGGAGAAAGAGCAAAGCAGCCCAGAAGCTGGAAGCTGGCCGGGCTCTCTCAGTAGGCTTCAGATGTTCTCCCATCCAACACAAACAATTTCACAGAACACCGATAAGCCACTCTCGAGTCACAATGGAACAAGACAAAACACACCATATCTGAACACAGACAAAAAAACTGGACATGGTCCACACCACAAAGATGACTAAACATGCTCCCCTCATATGAGTGATGGCTGCTTCTGTACCAGCGACACTGTGGCCTCCCCCTAGTCTGGCCTCTTTCTAGATAAGATTCACTAAGATACCAATCATAGAATTACCCCCACTTCCTGACAGCATACATTCCCAAGCAAATCCCTGCTACCTTAAATCTTCTCCCAAATCACCTAACACAAGCCCCAACTTGATACCGGCCCTTGTAACACTCTGTTATCCAGACCCCCATAGCCCCCATGGTGTGCGTTTTCCCACGCTCTGATGGTCAATAAACCCAACCTGTTCAGCTCCAGGGGTCTTAGCTGGAGGGCATTGGCAAAGGCAATCACAAATTGTTCTTCCAGGATGACAAGGCCCTCATGACCCTTTCCAACACTGAACCACCTCTGTCCCCACCACCAAGTAGGATAGGAAGCCTGATATTTCTGCAAAGACAGCTGTGCCAAAGGCCCTGCCATCCAAGTCTCCCTGGCTCTTTCCCCAGGAGTGTAGGGTAGGGTGGAGGCAGCTCATTTGTATTAGCACCTAGAACAGTGCCTGACACATAGTAGATGTTCAACAAAGTAAGTTGAATGAAAGAATGAATCAGAAAACTAGGTTTCTCCAAGCCTTTGAGATCAAAGCTGCCTTGAGAACTTTCATGAGGAGATAAGAATTTCTAAAGAGTAAATAGTGATGCTTGTCCTTCCAAACATTTTGGTAGCATTTGATGATGCCCTGGAGATCTGTCTGTCCCTCCAGATCCATACTCTATCATGCTTTGTATGGCAGGAGAGAGAGTTCAGGCTACTGATCTCGTCTACTCCCTCTGGACAAGGACGTGGTGGGCTGCCTGCATCCCTCTACATCAAGAGTCCCTTCAGGCAGCTCTCTCCTACAGCTCTTTCTGGGTCCCAGGACCAATTCTCATTCACTGCCCTTCGGGCTGGAGTGGATCTCCACTGATGCTCATCCAGAAATCTTTCAACATCTAAACCCCACCCACATCTTATAAACAAGCTCTTCATTAAACTTTCCTAATTACCCTGTTTGTTCCCCCTCTTTCCTGATGGGATAAATCTGACACAGGTTGCTTCAGCAGATCCTCTCCCAACCCAACCTAAACTGCTGAAGGGCCTCAGATGCTCAATGAGGGCCTGGGGATGCAGGTGTACTCCTCAGCTCTTGTGCAGGGGTGCAGGGCAATCAGACTTACTACTGTCAGGGAAGGAGAAGACCCCCAAACCCTAATCCAGTAGGTTCTATCACTGGTGAGGAGGACCCTCTAATCAAGCAGCGGAGAGAAGGGATAAAGTACTGAGATTTTTCTCCAGAACCTAGGATTGCCACAGCTGTGTTTTTCAAACCCCAAATCAGGGCAATGACCTGACCATAAGAAGGGCAATTGTGGGGACAGTGGAAAAAAAACATTTAAAATGGGGTCTCTGCAGGGACACCTGGAGCATTTGGCTGCTTCCTCACCCGTGGTGGCAAGTAGATGCTGTGGGCTGCTGGAAACATCTTTCTGCACGTTGCGCAATGAGACTATGTACTTGGTTCCAGGCAGCAAACCCAGGATCTCGTAGACGTGCTGCTCCTTGGGCACCTGGATCTGCTTCACAGAGAGCTCCTTCCCCAGGGGGTAGTAGCTGAGGACGTAGTGATCCACCTCACTGGACGGCTCCCAGCTCACCAGCAGGGAGTCCTCCGTGCTCCTGAGCAGCTGCAGGCCCTGGGGGGCAACCACTGCACACAGAAGAGGAACAGGTTGGGAGAGGGTAAGGAAAGAGGGCTGGGAATCCACAGCCAATGTGTATTCACTGAGCACCTCTGTATACTTATCACCCTGATGGTGGGCATGAAGGATACCCCCAGACGTTACTGGATGGGAGTTAATACTGATCCCCTCCCTCCTAAACACACACACACACACATACACACACACACACACACTCACTCACACTCACACTCACACACACACACTCCTCAAACCAGCGTCAGCATCACGCAGGTACTTGTTAGATGTGCAAATTCTCGGGCCCCAGCCCAGACCTGTTGAGTCAGAAACTCGGGTGGCCCCGGCCATCTGTGCTGTAACAAGCCCTCCAGGGCTTCTGAGGCAGGCTAAAGGCCCAGACCCCTGCCTAGGGCAGAGTGGGACCGATGGTAAATGGGGCCGAGCCAGGCGGGCGGCGCGCGTCGGCTCTCACCCTGCGCGCAATCGAGGCCCACGAAGCCCTCCTCGCAGTAGCACTCGCCCGTGTCGCAGAAGCCGTGGCTGCTGCAGTCGCCGGGACAGCGGCGTTCGCTGCAGTCGTCTGCCGTGAAGTCGTCGTGGCACCGGCAGACGCCGCGCATGCACTCGCCGTGACCGCTGCAGGCACCGGGGCAGGCGGGCCGCTCGCACTCGGCGCCCTCCCAGCCCTGCTCGCAGCGGCAGCTGCAGTTCTCCGGGGAGAAGGTGCCGTGGCCGCTGCAGGAGCGGCTCAGACCTGCGGGAGAGGAAGACAGGGGCTGGGGCTGGGGGGCTTGTGAGGGGGACCCCGGAGGAGCAGGCTGGAGACTCCTGGGCTCTTTTCCTGGAGAGTGGGATCCCTGACAGAGGCAGAAAATCTGCCCTTTCCAACCAGGCCAGATGGTGACCTGGGAAATCTACAAATGGTTCCTCCTTTTCTGCCTGAAATGCGACGCGAAATACCGTTCCTTTTCCCTTCCTGTACCAAGAGCTCCTGTGAATTCTCCTGGTTCTCTCCGCTCCTCATGGTGGTAATTATTTAGTGCCTTTCTATGAAGGAGCCTTAAATGCTCAAGCCCGGAAGTCAGCAGGCCAGCTTAGCCTACGGGGTGCCTTGGGGCTGCTGGGGCAGGCAGGTGAGACCCAGGCTGGGCAGGAGCTTGTCCTATCTGGGCTGGAGGGGCTGGACCTAGCAAGGCTGGGTCCTGGGGAAATGAGCCCAAATTGAAGCCTCAGAAAGCGGGCCTGTAGATGCTACAAACTAGCCTAGCCTCATTATCGGGATGAACGGTGAGAGGAGGGGTTGGTCCGGCTCTGCTCTTGAACCCGGGATACCAAGAGGCAGTAGGAGAGCAGGTCATCAGCCCTGTTCCTTCACCAGCCCCTGCTCCTGCTTCTCAGAAGACCCCCTTTCCTTCCTAAAAGCTTTTGACATGGAGGCTCCTCAGGGTAATTCCATGCTGTTTCACTCATGGCAGTGTCCCCCCGTGCCTGGTTCTGTGTCTGGCATAAGGAGGTGCTCTCAACGGGAGCAATAAAAATGCATGCCAAAGTACCACTCATTATTATCTGGATCGACCTGGGCAGGTTTATGTTTTAAGAAAAAGTGGTGACGAGGGGCTCACTATAAAATCAAATTGTAGTGCTTTATTACTAATAAAAGCATTAACAATTTGCTGGATGTCTACTATGGGCCAGGAATCTTAGGTACATCACTTAGAGTACTCAGGAACTAAACTAGTTTAGAGAATTATCCTCACTGGACAGTTGAGGGAACTAAAGAATTTGCCCAAAGTCACAGCGAAAAAGTGGCAGATGGGATTTACCCCCAGTCCTGTGTAGCTGCAAGGCTGTCAATCTTTCCCTCTCTACCCAATTGCTTTCCCTTACAGCTGAGACTGAGTCCATAGGTAAAACAGCGCCAGGAAGCCTGTTTATCTGGAAGCAGTAGCCAGGAGTCCAGACTCACTTGAAGAGTTGCTGGACCCCCCCCACCCCCCTGCTCAGGCTTGTACATGTACCCAGAGCTAGGGCGAATGATGAGACCCAGGGAAAGCCAGATGGACAGGAGGCAATGTACCGGACTCAGAAAGCTCATGAGGTTGGTGGACCACCTGGCACATAGAAAGGGCTCATTAAATGTTCACTGAATGAGTAACAGGTGGCAAGCTCACCGGCAGCCCCTTGGCAGCAGTGCTGGAGGTTACACTGCTCCTTCACCTTGGCCATCTCTTCCTCCAGCTTCTGCACCCGGGCCAGGAGGTCTTGAATGCTGTCTGCCAGCTCGCACTCCTTCTGCGGCGTCTGCAGGCGAATGTTGTGTCTGAAGATGATGTTCTGTTCCTCTGCCTCCTGGGGGACTGGGAGCCAGGCCCTATTGTCACTGAGGGGTGGAGGGTCTGCCTCCACCTGGACCAGGGCCGACTTAGGCACATCAATCTTGTAGGTATGGCTGACGGTGACCTGCTGCTCTTTGTCGCTGCAGCCATGAGGCTCGAGAGTGGCCGGGGCTGAGGCCACCAAAAGCACAGAGCCAAACAGGAGCCCCAACAAGGAGCAGAGCTTCCCCTGGAAACCCATCCTTGGCGAGATGGGGAGCAGACCCTCCTGGAGGCCTCTATCCTGAAAAAATGCAAAGAAGGCATGGAGATTGACTAATGGAAATTGGCCTTTTTAATGTATTCACAGGGTCCACAGGAAGCTGTGAAACCAACAGGAAGATGTCATCCTGTGTCTCCTGAGGATCTGAACTAAATTATTTTTGTCCCCTCCTCACCCACTGCACATTCCTCCCTCCTATCTTTGCTTACACTGTTCACATGAGCTAGGTGCCTTCTCTTCACTCCTAATCCTATACTCACCTGCACCTGAAACAGGGAGAAGAACTTGGATTGAGGTGCTGGGCTTCGATGGCCCCATCCTATCTGTACATCAACTCTAATACTATCCTCCCCAACAGATAGCTGCATGTAGGGCACATACTATATGCCAGGCACGACTCTACCTGTTCTGTGTTTATTACCTCATTCAGTCCTCACCACAACCATTCATGGAATATACTATTATCACCCCTTTTTACAGATAGTGATATCAAAGTGCATTACTACCAAAGTGACCTGCCTATAGGCACACAGCCGGAGAGGCAGAATTTCCGCCCAGGCAGTGTGGCTCCAGAGCCCATGTTTGTCACCCCTATGTCGTGCTGCTTTGCACATGAAGAAACCAAGCCCAAGGGACTGAGCACGTTGTCCTGATTACCACGGCCAGGAAGGACAAAGTCTGTACTCCGACCCCAGGCTAGCATCCTGCTCAGCACCTCTGCCTGAGAGCCAGCCGAAGATCAGACTTTCTAATAAAACAACCTTCTCTGTGAAGTTGTTTTTTCTTATCTCATGCTCTCCTACTTCATCCTAGCTGGAAACTACTCACCTTCCTTCTGCTAAGCATGTATTAGTCCCTCTGTGGGTCTCTTGATGGTTGACCTGTGTCATAGTTACTTTTGTATATCAAGCATATGTTACTCAGTTTGTCTTCCCACAAGCAGTAAGCCTCTTAAGGACAAGACCCAAGGCTGATCATCTCAGGGTCCTCCCAAGGCTGGAAGCCAGAGTCACACATGCTGTGGGATTCAGTCACCCTAAATCCATTGGTGCTCAGGTGACCTGCTTAGTCAGTCAGGCCAGGCCACCAGGGCCAGAGCAGGCTGTTGGGTTTGGCCTCCGTGCCCCCCAGCAGGGTGGGCCTTCAGCTCCAATAGTGTGCAAAGCACCTCTCCACAGCCCATTTCCCTGAGCCCCAGCCCCCACCTGGGAGGGCACATCCTTGGTCATTAACAGGCTGAGGCAGGGCCGACGGTAAGATGCCTCGTGTACCACTCCCACGTGCTCACAGGCACTCGGTCACCGGAAAGCCTCTGTCAGGGTCACAGCCACTCCCATGTAGGAACCAAGCTGCTTGGGTGCCTCTTTCCAACAGGCTTCTGGGACCAACGCAAGACTCAGAATCATTTGTACCAGAGACGAGGAAGTCAGGAAGCCCAGTCCCTTCCTGGTGGCTATGTCCCGCTCAGGCCCAGGCTCTGGCAGCTGCGACCTCCGAAAGGGCGAATCAGACAGGTCTAGGGGCCTGGTCTTGCAAAGGCTACTTATCCGGAGCTTTAGTCTCATCCGCATGTGGGAATGAAAATACGTACCGTGCTGCAATGTAGGAGCAAAGCACTTAGCCCCAAGCACAGAGTAAGGGCTCCATGGCTGTTTTGAGGTTATTTTGTTTTCAATCAGATACTGAGTATGACTTCCTTTTCTTTCTCCTTTTTTATTGTGAAGGGTGATTTCTCTACTGAAAAGGGCATACAACATCATTCGTATAGTTGTACTGAGTTGTCATAAAGGTAATGGCCCTGAAATCACCACCCAGGTTAGAGCTAGAATCCTGCTGGCACCCCAGGAGGCCGCTGCGGGCTTTCGCCTGATGCTGCCTCTTCTCCAACTCTGTAGTTAGATTCCAGCTCTAGTCAGAATGCAGTAAAAAAAATTGACCTGGATGGATAACTCAGTTGGTCAGAAAAGGAAGAAACCCTCCTCGTCATTAAACCAAATTCTAATACTATGTAAAATCTTTAACTTGGAATAGTCATCATGTATTTAGTATCAGGAAGCAGAGGAAATAGAGGATGAAGGGCTCTGGAAGAATTATTATTAAAAATAACAGTAAGGATATTAGAATATTTTAAATGTTACTTGTCAAGTTGCTGCTGTGTGCCAGGGATGGCCACGTGCAGTAACTGTCATACCTGCTATGAAGATTGGTGCTACTCTCCTTTCCTGGGTGAGGGACCTGCTGTGGAAGATAAAGTCACTTACCAGAGGTTGTCCAACTAGTGAAGTGGCACCATCAGGATTCAAACCTAGGCCCATCTGATTGCAAGCCTGTGCTCGCTCTGCATAGACAGGACATTCTGATACAATAACAGACGAGGTCGGTATGGTTCTGTCCCCTGCAATTTCCTCCTGTATATTGTACTCAAGGAATGTACTACCACTGCAAACTAAACAAAACAGCACCAAAGGAAGTTCTTCATGTAACCCCTTCCCCCACTCAATCCTTCTTGGCTCTTCCTATTATTCAAAGCACATGCTATTGGTGATGACGATGATAGCTCACCTTTTCTGAGCACTTACTACATCCCAGGAACTGGACTCAACACCACCTTGTAGTAATGGGATGGTCAGTGGGATATTTCTTATTGCAGTGGGATTTGGTCAGTGGGTAGTAAACACCCACATGTTTTAAAGAGACATGTTTTAGAGGAGGTTTTCTGGGGGTGCAGAGCTGGGTGAATAGTGGGTAGACGATGAAGTGCCTTCTCCTTGCTGGGAGGAATTCAGGGATAGAAAATTTACCTAGAACAGCCTGTATGGCAGAGAATGGAAGGAAGTCATGGTGGGAGAGGCCTGCACCGCAGGCTTTGGGGAGACCAGCTTATGTAAGTCTTGCCATAAGTCAAACTGATGCCATAGAAATAAGGCCGAAGGGGACCAGAGCTGGCAGCCCTGCAGCTCAGCAGGAACGCATCCCCCCCGTGGGCAAAGTCAGGTGGTGGTGCCCGGTGGGTAGAATGCAGACTGTCTGCTGAGCCCATGAAAGGTTCCCACAGGAGGGGGTGGTGCAGCCAGCCCTGGAAGCAGCTGCCATACAAGGGCTCCTGATGACCAGACAGAACTATGACAGCCCCAAGTCAATACAAATACCTTTTCCCTTCTCTTCTGACCCCCTTCTCTGCCTCAGTCGGCAACCTGGGAAGCCAGAAGCAGCCACGCTAGTTGGGGGCAGTTAAGGAAGGAAAGTACCCTGCCTTTCCCAAAAGGGCTCTCTTCCAATACCAAAAGCAGAAAAGCTCTGGAATCAGTTTGCGACTATCTGAGGATGGAGGTGAGGATTGCCAGGAGAGGGAGCTGGAAGGCAGGTGTGGGATGAAAATAATGGTATTTCACAATTGCTGTCTTCAAAAGTTCAGCCCAGTGATAAAACGGTCACACCCATGTTCTCCGCTTCCTCCCCAAGATGGGGACTGAGGCTCAGAGGCATCAAGCAACATACCCTTGATTATGCAGCCAGAGTGCAAGGTGCAGATTCAAACCCGGGCACCATGTCCACTGGACCCTTTACCTGTGCGCCCCACTACAGCCCTCCTCAACAACCGCACACACTGATGTCAAAAGCACCTTCTTTGTACTGGACAGCATGCAAGTTTCCACTGTCCAGAATCCCCTTCCTGAGCAGCAATAGAGCTAAAAAGGCAGACCTAGACTTCTCTGCCCACTCCTGCCATCCAGCCACCCATCCTCACCCTGTAGCTCACTCTTCTCCAAGACAGAAATGGATAAAGATGATTTTCTGAAAAAGTTCTAAACAATAGCAGAAAAGCCATAAACTGCAGCAAGGCAGCCCAAAGCCCAGTCTCGTGGTGTTTGTGTTTTAAAGCCTGGCATATGAAAAGTCCCAGAAGACCTCGTATGAGCCCTCAGTGTCGCCTGCCCTGCTGCTTTGCCTGTAATAAGATGTCCTCATGAATTACAGCCTCTGGGCTTCCACATGTTGAGCTCAGATTTTCCTGTGCAGGGTGGTTGCTAGAAAGAC